AGCTGCACCCTGGTCCAACCATCAGAAAGCAAGAGACCCGAGAACTTGAAAGGTGAGGCTCACTGAGCCATTTATCCCGCCACCCTTCAATTAACCCCACATGTGTTTATCCGCCAGGTTGGCACAATCAACTAACGACCTCAATTGGGTTTCATTCTTCTCGCAGTCCTGCTTTCTCTGTGCTTGTTTTAATGGAATATTGTCTAGTAGCTTCTTGAGACATGATACATTATTTGAGGTAAATTTGTTGAGATTTTATATGCTCACAGCGTCTTTGTTCTATTGTAACACATCTTGAGAGTTTGGCTAGTTGTATATTCCTACGTTGGAAATATTTTTTCTTAATAATACTGAATGTAGTTCTCCACTGTTTTTCCAGCTTCCAGAGTCTCTGCAAATTATAAACTCTTGTATGTGACTTGTTTATCCCTCTGAATTTTTTTTGGGGGGGGGCATCAAACCTTTATGTCTAGTATACTAAAATGTCTTAAGTATGTGTCTTTAAAAATAATTTATTTGGAGACACTCTTTGAACTTTTCATCCACATACTTACATACTTAGATTATTAAAATCTAACCAAATCATTTCTTGATATATTTGTTCTACCCATTTTCTCTATTGTATCTTTCTAAAGCCTCTACGTAGCTCGACAGTAGAAGCTAAATATTCTTGTGTCTTTGATTTTCTAACATTCATCTTTATCTCTGTGTTCTGCTTTCAGTGAGATTTGTTCAACCTTGTCTTCTGACTCCTCTTCTAAATTTTAAATTTCAGCTAGCACATTTTTCTTACTTTCTGATTCCTTTGTAGGGCACCCTCATCTTTCTGAGAATGTTAATAATCATTTCCTTTAAAGTTAAGTTTTCTTCTGCTCTCTGTTTTCTTGGGGCTCTTTTGTTTTCCATGTTTTTAATGTTATAAACCTTTCTCAAGAATCTAAACCCCTGCTTTCTATTTATATTTAAAAAGAAGTACTAAAAGGCAAATTGGAAGTACTTTATGATTGGATAAAGCTTAATGATATTGGAATTTAAATTACAAGTGGGACCTTCTGGTTGGGGGACACTTCTGTGTTATGTGTACCTGTAATATTCTGTGGGCCATTCAGGTCCTCCAGATGAAGACGCGCCAATTTCCTCTGAGGAAGGTAAAGTGTGGCCACTGGAGTTCTTGGAGGTTAAGATGAAATGCCTCTGCACCGACATTCCGAATACAGTCTTTCACACGTTCTTTCTCTTTCCTGTTTTCTACATCAGCCTAGCCCCGCCATACTATCCCTTGTATCTCTGAGTTCAAGAGCACTCTGGTTCATTTGTTGCAGAGAATAAACCCCTTCTTTCCTGCTAAAGTGGGAGAGGGATAGTCATCTGGCTGCACACTTGGGGTTGGTAGGGAGTAAGGATGAGCGGTAAGAGTGAGTGGATAAGGGGTGGCTCCTAGAAGTGTAATTGATCTCTTTACAAACTTTCAATCAATCCTCTCTTTTCAAATGGACCACACTGAACCTTCCATAGCAGCTGGTACCTCCAGTGTTTGGGTCTCTCTGGGGTTCTTCAGTGTAAATAGCATGAATCCTCACTCTCACAGACATGCAGTTCTTCCAAAGCTTGCTCTCCTCTGCTAAATTAACTCGCAACATCCCATATCCCATATAGTTTTTATTTATACGCTGTGGTGGAGAACTACATGTGTTTCCCAAGCTTCACAAATGATCAAGTATATGCTTTATGCTAGTTTTTTATTGCTTTGAGTAGTTTTTACAGAGAAATTAGCAAAAAATGTGAGCTAAAACCAAACTGTGTTCATCTCATCCTTGCCCCTTCCATTTATTAGTTTACCTTTTCAGTGAATTCTGCGTGAACCTTTTAAAACGTCTCCTACCCACTTCTGTGGTCTCTTTTCTTTCACCTCTACTCTATCCTTTACAAATAATCAGATCTGACTGCATCCCTCCGTACGCAAAAATAATATTCGATGTCTACCCACATAAAACAAAATTCTTTCTTTTTCTTTCTTTTTTTATTTTTTAGTAAGAACATCACTGTTTTCTTACAGGTAATTCTTCCATTGATTCAACACTTTTTCAAATTAAAAAGATTAAGCAAGGATTAGAACTGGAACCCATGGTTCTTTCTCTCCGTATCACCTCCCACTTCAGAATGCTGGCATCTCTTCATGGCCAGCATCCTCTGGGACCTGCAGTTGGGCCCAACACATTCAAGCCTCAGTCCAATATTCTCTGTGGTTTTAGCTTCTTCTGGAAAACTGGTCTTGTCTGCCCACCAGAGCCACCCTGCCTCTGATCCTCGTTTCTCTTTCCTCACACATACAGACATCCTCGCCCTTCTTCTACTGGTCACTGCGTGAGGCTGATGTTTGCCACGCTTCTTCCAGAAAGTCCATCGGTGTTAGGGTCACTGTATTGACCATCCTTGCCGAGATGTGGTCTACTCAGCGTCAGCGGGAACTTGAATGTCGGCGATCCTCGCCTCGATCCTCGCGTGCCTCACCTGAAGGGGACAAAATTATTTTTACCAAGCTGCTTTGAAACATCTTCCCCAGTTTATTTACTACTCTGCTCATAAATTTCATTTTCCAGCAATCATCCATTTGCTGTATGCCAGGGATATAGCAGGGGGTACAAAGATGAAACTATGCTCAGGAGACTCAGGGTTTTTCACTGAAACCTGTGGAATGAATGGTAGATGGATGGATGCTTGGATGGATGGATGCGTGGATGGATGCATGGATGGATGGATGCATGGATGGATGCATGGATGGATGGATGCATGGATGGAAGGATGCATGGATGGATGCATGGATGGATGCATGGATGCATGGATGGATGCATGGATGGATGCATGGATGGATGGATGCATGGATGGATGGATGCATGGATGGATGGATGCATGGATAGATGCATGGATGGATGGATGCATGCATGCATGGATGGATGCATGGATGGAGGATTCATGATAAGAAAATGAAGACAGCCATTTTCTCAACCTAACATTTGCTTCTCATTCCCACATGTGTCTATTAATTGCCTACTATTCAAGGTTTACAACCGCAACACTCGCCTCAGCAGTTTTTTGTGTTGCTATGAGCTCACTAATTACAGATTACTTTGGATATATTTACCGATATAGCAGTCTTCCTCATCCAATAGAGAACTTCTTGGTAGTAGGAGTCATGAAGTTCCCCCAAAATATCAGAAATGAGTTTTCATGTATCAGGAACTCTATAACATGTATGGGGAATATAAAAGTTTCCTGTTATTAAAATCAAGAAATAAATTAAATTCTTACTAAATTCCTTTTTTAAATCATTTTATTGGGGGATCTTACAACTCTTATCACAATCCATCCATCCATCCATTGTGTCAAGCACATTTGTACATTTGTTGCCATCATCATCTTACTAAATTCTTATTGGTTCTAATTAAGAGGTACTCAATAGCTTTATTCATTCTTTTGACATTCAAATGTTTATTAAAACTTTACTCTGGGCCAGGCCTTGCACCATACACTGGGCTTACAAATAAGAAAAAGGCACAGTCATGTCATGAAAAGACCCACAGCTCAGCAGGAAGAGAGCAGTGTGCAGAAACTGCTCTGGGTCCAATGGAAGCAACGGGGACAGAGCTTAGAAATCTGCTTGGGGTCCTAAGAATCAGGGTCTCATGAGTCAAAGAGTTGAACGATTCCATAGGGTTTTAGAGGTTCTACAAAACAAACTGCCATCGACTCCTACACCTCTGCAGGGACAGGAGCCTCCTCCTCCCTGAGGAGGAGCTGGTGGGTTGGAACGACTGAGCTTCAGCTTGGCATTCCTATGCATAGCCACCGTACCACCGGGGCTCCCTTGGGAGTGCCACAGCTCACTCTCTGGCATCAAGTGGATGCCAACTCATAGCAACCCGATAAGACAAGGTAGAACTGACCTGTGAGTTTCTGAGACTAAAACTCTTGGGAGTAGAAAACCCCACCTTCCTCCCATGGGGTGCTTGATGGGTTCAAACTGCTGGCCTTGCCGTTAGCAGCCTACTGCATTACCTCTACATGGGAGTGCCATAAAGAATGTGAACCCCAGCTAAGAGAGGAAGGGTGAAGGAGAACTCACTGGAGAAAGAAGGAATAAAAAAGGAAACTCTAATGGATGTTATTTTCACTGATGACTGTATTTTTAAAAAAAGCAAGAATAAATAAATCTCATTCAAACAGATCCATCCTTTCGATATTCAAACATCTACAAAGACCCTCTATGACTCAGATCACATGCTCGGTACATGCTTTCAGTATAGATTCTCAAAGACGTGGATAAAGAGGCAGCACATTTTAATTCAATGGAGGGTTTCATATAGGTTTGGAATAATATAGTCCAGGTACATTTTTTGATGCTTTTTAATTCAAAGAAAGGGCTTAGAAATTGAATGCATGTAGATAACACATGTATTAAGAAGTTTCTCCCAAATATCAGCTGTCCTCAGCAAGCCTTTGGCAAAGAGCTACATTGCAATCAACTCCTGGTTGAATTCTCTGATGAGGGTCGGGAATGTCATTAGTCTGAATTGTTGATGAAAGAGGGATTCACATGCTTTGCATACCAGATGTGCAGGAGGTGGAGCTAACTGCCTGTGCTGAATGATTAGGAGCCGGATTTATGTGTTCTTGGGTGGCAGGGCCAGTCTACTGCTGACAGTGGCTGGGGAGGGAAGTACAATTAGTGCAAATATGCATATGCATCCTCCTCCCTAGTGCTAGGAGTTTTACATAATCTCCCTTAATCTTTGATCCTTTTGAGACAGATATGTTATGAGGTACCTCGTAAAAGTTGGGAGAGAGATGAGGCTTTCTACTCCCATAAACATTACAGTCTCAGAAACCCACAGAAGTTTGTAGGGTAGAACTATGAGTCTCTCACTGCCTTGATGGTGGTGAGTAAGCCCATAAAAAAAAAGTATCTATTTTCTCTTATCTGTTATTATTATTTATTTTAACAGGGAGGCTGCCAACCAATTTTCAGTCTAAGTCACAAACAATCACCTTGGGGCAGATTTTTCTGTTCAGAAAAGAGTTATGTGAACCGCTTCTCTCGGTTTATGTAAAGTCAGACAAATGGGCAGGGAAGGTTAGATCAACACTTCTTCTGTGCTTCACCATGTTTCCCCCTCCTAATCCCTCTGGATTTTCAGAGCTTGTGGGCAGACAGGGACTGCGCATGTTTGTGTAGAGCCGTGAATCTCCAGGGAGCTGAAGGGTGGAGACTGAGTCCCTTCCGTCAGAGGTCCAGTGCCATTAGAACGTGTTTGAACGAATACTCCAACATAAACATCAGAGCCAGAAGAACGGGGTTCACCTTTGTCTCCACAGCATCCAGACAAGGATGAGAGCATCAAGTCCATCCTCACTCATGGTGATCCTAAAGGACAAGGGTTCCAAGTCTGTAACTCTTTACAGGAGTAGAAAGCCTCATCTTTCTCCAGGGGAGCAACTGGTGGTATTGAACTGCTGACCTTGTGTTTAGCAGTCCAATGTGTAACCACTATGGCTCTTGTTGAGTAACTCTAATTTCCCGATTTCTCACTCCCAATTTTTCCAGAGCAACTTTTGTCCCTTCCTCTTTTTTAAGTAATTCTTCTTGTTCTCTTCTTCTTGAAATAGTAAAGTCAGATGTCAACAGTTTCTGAAGTCCCTTTATATATCCACAGCCAACTGGAAATCATAGAACCACGCGCTCAGGTAGAATATCATGTTTGGCCTCCTACTTGTCATAGTCAAGTTAGCTAGTACGGTGCCAGATTGTCTAAATAAATGTGTATGGTAAAAGAGGGGGTAGGTAGCAAGGAGGTGTTTAAACCATTTCACATTAATATTGTATCCATCACCAGGCCATCCCTACTTCTGAGTTTCGTAGTCAAGTGTCTTTACTAGAATCTATGGCAAAGTTATTCTTTTGAGATGGCACCTCATTTCACCTCACTGCCATCGAGTCCCTGCTGACTCATAGTTACCCTATAGGACAGGGTAGAACTGCCAAGGTGGAGCTCCGAGACTGTAACTATTAAAAAGATCATCTTATTGGGGGCTCTAACAGCTCTCACAACAAACCATACATCAATTGTATCAATCACATTTGTGCATATTTGCCATCGTCATTTTCAAAGCATTTTTTTTTTCTACTTGAGCCCTTGGTATCAGATCCT